CCCAACTTTGGATGAACTGAACCATCAATATTCTCCATGTTTTCATCCAAGTAGCCAAGCTCTTCTGGAGAAACTTACACCACTAGAAATTCATGGTCATCAAACCTCCAGAGGCCCTCAATACTTTTCTGTTGTCTTATTCTACATGCCTCTGGCCTCCACGTTCCTTTTCTCATTGTGTATAGTTTTCTTAACCTATCTTGGCTCCTAAAATTTCAACCCCTTCCATTCATGAGCACACACACACACACTCACACACACATACACATACCACACTCAAAAATCAAACCTCCAACTTCAAAGAGAAAATAGAAACTATCAGCCAAGGGCTCCCCACCAAATCTGGAATCTATTGTCTTAGTTAAGATGCTGGGTAGGTTGCTATGACAACATAGGAAAAACGTTAAAGACTTAATATTTTAGGGTTTTTTCTTTTTCATGCAGAAGAATCATACAGTAAAATGATTTGAAAGTAACGGAGACCCAGGTTTCTCCCTTTCTGTCACTCTGTCATCTCTAGTCACCTTCACCACATAATCAAAGGTGGCTTACCCTCATATCCACGATTAAACTATAGATAGAAGCAAAGAGAGAGAGAGTGTTTATCACCTTTAAGACCTTGATCTAGAAGCTGCACTTATCTCTTCCACCCACAGCCACTGTACTAGTTGTAAAGCAACATTTAGTTGCAAAACAAGTCTAGGAAACATAGTTATTATCTGGTTGGCAGTGATTTATGTTCCTCTACGATAATCCCTTTCTACTAATTTCCCCTTACAATTGATTTTGTCTTTACTGCTACCAAAAGTTAAGACCCTCCACTCCTGCTCTAGATTAATTCCTCCTTGCCTTCCCAGGTACCTGGCATAATTAATCAATTAATTTATTAGTCTCTATTGCTCCTCCTTTTCCTTATCTTTCCCTCTTCTCTTTCTTTCTCTCCTATTTCCTACAATTTCATTATTTTCAATATATTAGAGTAATTCTAATGGGGACTTCTAATTCTCTTATCTTAAAAAAAAAAAAAAGGTCATCCTCTTCCTCCGCCACCCTCTTCACTTTTCTTGATAATCATACTTCTAAGAGATTTGGCTGAAGTCACTCACTCCTTTTCTGTCCATCACGTTCAGTTTTTTGTACACCCACCTGGTCTTCTGATTGAACGAACTCGCCTAAGTGGCCCTTTCCAAAGTTACCAAAGATCTTCAAGTCACTAAATTCAGAAAACATCTGTAAATCTCCATTTTGCTTATCTGGAAGTGGTGTTTGAATGTTTGAATAAGTTCAGCACTTTCTCTTAGGCTTCTTCTCCTTTAGTTCTCTGATGCTTTGCTCTCTTGTTCTCTTCTCCTCTTCCTCCTCTTTCTGTTTGTTCGTCTCCTTTATAGGCAACTCTTTAACCCTTTATCTTTTTTTTTTTTTTTTGTACAGGACATCAAACTCAGGACCTTGTGTGTTTGAGGCAGGCAGCGACACCACTGAGCTAAATCCCTAGTTGTAACTCTTTATCATCAAAAATTATCCTTTAGGGCTGGGGATTTAGCTCAGTGGTTCTGATGCCTGCCTTGCAAGCTCAAGGACTCAAGTTCAATCCCCAGTACCAAAAAAAAAAATTATCCTTTCTAGACTTATGATCTGGTCCCTCACTTATTTCTATTCTATACCCTCTTATTAATTCTGTGGTTTGTATTACTTCCTGTAAAATTCATATAATTAATTTCTTACTGGAATTTCTACTTAAATGTCTAAAAAGCATCTGAAATTTAATATGTCCAAAAATGGAACAGATTTTTCTGGAGAGAGTTGTTCTCTACTAGTTATTATTTTCTCTATAAAGTTGAAGTCCCATATCTCTCACCATGCATGAAATCAAAATTGAAATGAATCAAAGATATAAATATTAAAACAGAAACATTAAATCTGCTAGAATATAGAAAAGGTGAAAACCTTGAAAACATAGGTGTCAGCAAAGACTTTATGAACAAAATTCTGATTGCACAGGAAATATTACAAAGAATTAACAACTGGAATCTCACCATATCAAAAAGTTTTTGCACAGCAAAAGAAATCATCAGCAGAGTGAAGAGACAAGCCACCAAGTGGGAAAAATTTTTTGCCAGCTGTATTTCAGGCAAAGGACTAATATCTAGAATATATAAAGAACTCAAAAAAGACTACCCAATTTAAAGACCTTATCCAAAAAATGGGCATCTGAAATGGATAGACACTTCTCAGATAAAGAAGTACAAATAGCAAATAAATATATGAAAAAATGTTCAACATCTTGATTTTTCAAGAGATGAAAATTAAAACAACATTGAAATTCCATCTCTTCCCAGAAAGAATGGTTATCATCAAGAAATCAACCAATAACAAATGCTCTTTGAGCTATGGGAGAAAAGAAACCTTCCCCATTCTTGGTAGGAGTGTAAATTGAGGCAACCACTGTGGAAATCAATATGGAGATTCTTCAAAAAACTAAAACTAGAGGTGCCATTTGACTTAGCTATTCTCCTTCTTGGTATCTTCCTGAAAGAATTAAAAGTATCATAAAGTAGAGTACTACTCTGCCATAAAGAGGGATAAAGACATTTCCAGGTAAATGGATGCACCTTGAGACCATACTCTTAAGTGAAATAAACTGAACACACATGAGTAAATATTGCATTGTCTCTCTGGTGTGAGAAACTGCAAGCAGAAATGCATAATTTATATTATAAAATAGGAAGAAAGTGTCCAAACAGGAAGGGGAGCCAGGAAAAAGGGAGGGAAGGAAGGGAAAATAATAAAGGAGAATAGAAGGGAAAAATAGAAAGAAAACTTTTGTAAATAAGGAGGGAACAAGATGAGGGTGTCTATTTTTCTATTGCTGCTGAAGCAAATTATCATGAATTTAGTGGCTTAAAATAACACCCATTAACTCATATGGCCAGAAGTCTACCCCGTATGTCTGAGTTCTCTGCTCATAATATCACAAGGTGTCATCAGAACTGAAATCCCTTCTAAAGACTTGGGAGAGAACTGAAGTCCCTGTTCTTATTCTGGCTGTCCTCTAGGGACTACTCTCAAGCAGAAGCCTCTTTCCCTGTGCCCCAACCCTCCATTCACCAGCTACCAACAGCCATATGTGGACCTCCACACGGTCCCCTCTGTTTTCAAGCCATTAACAATATTTGGAATCCCAGTTGTTCTCCAAATACCCCCAACTTCTATTGCTATGGTCAGACAGGGAAAACTCCTGGCCTTTAAAGAATTTGTGCAAATTGATCAGGACTAGTTGAATTTTTTTTTATCTTGAGATAACCTGAGTAACATAAACATCTGCCAAATCCTTTTGCCACAAAACAATTATGAGAGCAGTATCTCATTACATTCCTAAGTACACCCACCCTCAGGAGAAGAAGATTATAGAAAAGTAAGAGTTACTGGGACATGGTCATCCTATACTTCTACCTACTTCTGGAGAGGAAGCCAGGGAAAACATCCCTGAAAATTGCTGCTTGAGCTGGATTAGATGAATAAGAGGAGCTTCCAGAGAGTAGTACAAAAGCCATGTAATGGAGGATACATAGCAAAAAGGGTGTGGAGGATGGGGGACTACAGGAAGATCAGTGTGTTACAGTGGAAAAGACAAGCCATAAAAACTCAAAATAAACTGGCTAGAAAAGCCAGCAGGAGTCAGACCATGAGGGCTTCATAGATCCTGTGAAAAGGTTTTCTCTGTCCCAAATGCAAAAGTCAGAGCGTGGCAAAATCATATTTGCATTCTAAACAAACACTGTGCCCACAAGGTGGTGGATGAATGTAAGACGGCACCAGTAAAATGTGGTGGCCCATGTAGGAGCCTAGGAGAGTAGCACAAGAGCCTGTACAGTAATGTATACAAGCAAAGGGAGTCAAGAAACATTGTAGCTAAAATCAACAGGACTTCATGATTGATTGGATATGGGAGTGATGTAGTTATGTTCCTCAGGAAGCAGACTCTAAAACAGAGATTACTGTGAAGGATGTTTACTGAGGAGTCCTCTTGGAATCAACACCTGTGCAAGGGAGAGGATGAAAATGGCATTGGGCAAAGGGAGAAGCTGAGCAGTAATTCAGTCTCAACAAAGATCTCAGTCAACCCCATGAGGAGCTCTGATGCTGCAAACAGATTTCAGAGTTGTCTTTCTCTATGCTGATGGGTCACTGATGGATTTCCCAGAAAACATCCGTGACCTTGTAAGAGCCAGGTTTCTTCTGCTCAGACAACTCCTGAAGGATACCGTCTTTCAGCAGCACTCTCAACAGCTGGACAATAATATTTCATTTTTGCAGAGGAGTCCGGGCTTTGCATCACAGTCCCCATTACAGAGGTGGAGGAGCACAAGGCAGTAAGGCATTGAGTGAGTCTTATGTTTCTGACCTGTGCACCTTGGTGGATGCACCTATGACCAGATATTGCAGTCACTGGCTTACCTGGGGAAATCCCCATGAAAGCAACTGATACTTAGGGACAGACTGTGTACAGGATAGTCAGTGCACATCTTATTACTGGCACATGGTTTCCTGGGTAAGTGAATGTCTATCTACTATTTCCATTCCTTTCCCCCCTGCTTTTTTCTTTGTCCCCTCGCCTCTGTGCATTACCGTCATCCAACGTGGGAAAAGTTCAGCAGGTTATCTGGCACTCCACCTGTGCTGGAGCTGAACAAACAGTAATTCAAACTCCTGTGGTCCAGGGCTCTCAGATGAGCAAGTCGGGCAGTGCCAGAGGAAAGGAAGGGGGAGAAGGTGATGACATCCACACACTCTAGGCTTAAACATTGTCCTCCCATGCCGTGGTCCCTATTAACTGGCTGGACCAGATCTTCTCCAAAATGATGGATAAGGACTCTGAATTCCTCATACACCTAGACCTCACTCTAATCTGCTCTTCCACTGGTGCTCCCATTTCTTACAGCTTCTGGGGGCCAGACAGAATTTCAGATCATGCTGGACTTTCTTTGGAATCAAGGAGAATGGATAGTGAGCACGTTCCAGCCCGAGAAACCGAACCCACTCCAGTCTTGTGCACACAGTGTACAGCTGTCCCCACTGCTCCCCGGAGACGCAGCCCCACTCTGGCCCCCTCTCGTGGGAACCTGACACCCTACCCAGCGGCTCCACCTGCGCTGCCTGCAAACAGGGAGCGTCCGCTTGTCAAGTGGAGGTAGGCGCTGCCTGGAGACCGCAGGGTCAGTTGGAGCCTCCTCCTCTTTTGCCCGGGACCTGGACAGAGTTGGAACTTTAGCTACCCCAGTTCATCCTGTCAGTTCTCACCTCCATTCCCGGTCGTCCTCAACACCCAAGTCTGACTCTTCCCCGGCCCGGGTTCCCCGAGGACGAATGGCACCCTCCCACCGGCTCCGCTCTGCTGAGGGTTCCCTGGGACCCCGGGGGCAGTACTGGGTGTTGGTCCTCAGGAGGTGGAGTGTGCGGGGAGAGATGCACCCTTAGCCCTCAATGAGGAGCTGCAGGGGACTACGGTAAACGGTGGTGTCGCGGCCACTGCGGCATAGTAGGTGGCCGTCTCCAGGCAGGCTTGGGCACCTGCGCCACGGCTGGGGACCCGCGAACTGAAACCTGACCTCCAGGGCACCTCCTCCTCCCGTACCAAGGCTCGGGACTCCTCCGGAGCTGCCTCTGCCCGCCCCTTACCTTCCCTCCCTCTGCAGCCTCCTCTCACCCAGCCTGTGCGGGCTGGCGAGCCCTTGCGCGGGCGCGCGGGCGCGAGCACACACACACACGCACACGCATACACACACGCACACGCACACACTTCCCCAGAATTGGAAGCATTGGTAAAGAGAGGGTGGGAGAAAGGACTTCTGCAAGAGAAGACGCGGGAGATCTAGGGAAGTAGTGAGCCTGGAGGCAGTAACTCCCTAGCTGGGGACCAGGGCGTTGGGTCACCTGATAGGACAGAGGCTGACCAGCCCCGGAGGGACCGGATTCTAGGAGGGGTGAGCGGAGCAGCAGAGGGACCTGGGGCGGGGC